TTCTATTTTTAATAGTTTGAATGGTTTTAGATGAGGCATATGCTGTACTGTAAATCACAATCCTACTACCTCTCAGTTTACTTTCTGACTCCTTCCTGCATTTATGATGCTTGCTTGGGCCCTGAAGGCATTTCAGTTTGCAATCCTTATTTAAATAAAAATCAACAGTAACATGATTTAATGATGGTGCAAGATGTCTTTAAGAATATGTATATCAGGTCATCACACAATATATTTCATTTCACATTTTATGTCTTTATGATCAGGTAATGCACCCACAACTTTCTTACCCATATCCATTTGAAAAATTCATTAAAAATTTAGCAGCATTTTTTCTTCTAAAATGAATATGAATTTCACAGGGTTCTTTTTGGAAGAGAATTTGTTGTAGCAAATAGATTTGGACCTTTATTTGTCATTGGTAGTTTTGTGGTTTCAAATACAAAATTGACTGCAACCTCCTTCAATATAAAAACATATAAAATATTTTTAAACCAAGACATCTTTGTGCCTGTAAAATCCAGCTGTAACAGTATACATATATCTGTGTGACTGTCAATATTTAGGGGATACATACACAGTATAAGAGATAACTTGTTAAAGAAATTGGTTTTGTTCAAACCAGGGTATGTACTGATCAATGACTAATATGTAATGAGTTGTCAATCAGGTGTTCATTTTATGGAAGCTATCCGACCACCAAATGAAAATTTGATCCAAATGGATACTTAGCATGTAAAATAGTTTGAACTTGAAAATGTAAATTGTGATTCATTCATAATATAGAAAAAAGTGCCAGTTATGGTTTTAGCATATTTTGTTATAGGTTCATTTTGAATACGAAAGGAACATACTGTACTTACCAACGCAAGGGAAATGTTTGCGTGTTTAAGGAATTATTACTCTGTTGAGGTCCTTCTATATTTTTCCTCTGTTTTGCACAAGTCGTATTACTAATGAGTTTATTTGAGTATTGAAAACTAAAATACTTATATTTTAATATTTTAAAATACATTTTTGTTATAAAATTCAAGGACCTAGTTTTCAAATATGGATCAGTTTGACCTTGGAAAATCTACATTCTAAATATTACTAATGCAGATAGCAGAGAAAAAAGGCTGTATATTTGCTAGCAAAGTCAGAGATAAATAAGAACTGTTGTAATACACCATTTAAAACAATCAGGATTATTCCAGCCTTTGTAGAAAAGAATTTTGAGTGACAAAGAGCCTCAATGCAGTCTTCATATGTATTAAAATTGTGAAAAACTAAGGTTAGAAGGAGAGCTGAGGATCCTTTCATTGAATACTTTATTTAATAAATGAGAATACTGTGATTCACCTAGTTGTGGAAGAACTGGAATTAGAATCCACAGTTCCTAATGCCTAAACCAATGTTCTTTTCACTACCACCCTCACCTATATAGGACATAATATGTAGTCAGAACAGCTACCATTTGTTGGGCTGTTAGTGTCTGGTATGGAAAGTCTTACTTGCTTTATTCTCTTAACAATTCTGTAAAATAGATTTTATTAACCCAATTTTACTGATGAATCTATTATAAATTTCAATTTTGAGATTAATTTACTTGCCCAAAGTCAGTTTACAAGCCAGCAATCTAATAAATGTCGGAATTCAGTCTTTCCTCTTCCTGCAGAACTAATTTTAAAAAATCATCAATAGGTCTATGGAGTTGTATAGGAAACAGAAATTACAATATACTGGTTGGCTTTTCTCTTTACAGCTTCCATATTTTGTAGATAAAGTTAAATATGTATATAAAATTTGTAATCTGTACTTATTGTAGGATATTTGATCCCAAAGAGACCTGAGACTAGCTAATCCACTCCCATTTATTTATAAATGAGGTAATTAAGATCAAAATTGTCAAGCACTTCCCACAGAGGGGTAGTTGTAAGACTAGTAGACAGTGAAAGTTCTAGCTTGAAGTGCTCTGATTCATCTACTATTCACAATCACATTTTTGTGGGTGAAGCATTTGGAGGAAAAGCATGGAGGATAGGCTGACAAGACACTAAGTACTACCACAGAGTGAGCTGAGTGCTGACAAGGTCCATGCATGTACATTTTTTGGAAAGATAGTACTATTGAATGTGACTGATCTTCAAAGGGCCTGGTAAGTGTTTTTTAGCTTTCCTATGAGTCTTATGAGGTACAAATGACCAGAATGTCTGCTCCATGTTTGGCTAAGAAAGAAGAGCCAGTACTTTTTACATTTCATTGTGTTCTCCAAGTAAAATGTACATTTTTTAATGAAAAGTGAGGGAGAAGATAATTGTTAGTTAAAACACTAGTTCACAATTAAGTTTAATTTTCTTTTTTTCTTTTAAGCTGTTTTATTGATTTAGGAGAAAATGTTCTAGTGAAAAGAAAAGCATCTATAGCACATTAATTTTTTTCCAATACCGTATTTTCACCCATACCACATTTTCTTGGGGAGAGTGAGGTGGCTATAAATATCTTTACCACTTGATGTTGTAACTTTAAATGAGGGCAAAACTCTCTCTGGCACTAACAAGAATTTTGCCTATAAATAGTTACAGAATGGGGTCCATGACGATTATGAAGCAATTTGGTTCTTTCCCAAGAGATAGAAATGTCGGCACAAGTTTCAGATGGAATGCACATACCTTGTCCATATTCCTAATAATAACAAGAATGAAGGAGAAAAAACGCCAGGAATTCTTGCAGGCTTTAGCCAGCTTGCTTCAAAAACCTGTCAGCTAAACAAATAAAGTGAAGTAGTGGGAGGGAAATGCAGAAGATTAGCTGCTGTGGGCTACTAGTTAATGAGTAGTCCAACAAAAAGGAAGTGATGGCCATGGAAGGGTACACAGAGAGTGAAGAAAATTAACACTACCAAAAACAGTTAGCATTCACAAATTAGATTTTTATTCAATTCTGAAGTTTATTGTTTTATTGTGGGATCTGCCTCCAACCAGCTATAGAAGCTTTCCTCCATCCCTTTGCCCCCAAACAAGATGAGTGGGATCAGTCAAAAGATTGAAACTTTGAAGCACGGTTAGGCTGCTAGGTAAAAGCCAGCAGAATATGTCTGAGACTTCATTAAAAAATGCCTACAACAACACCCTGGGTAAAATCCACAGCCGCTTGGCATTGCTGCCTCATTAAGAGTAAGATGAAGTGGCCGTCCCTAAAGACTGGCCCTGCCGTTTGCTGACCGATCCCAGGTGTGTCCTGCTCACACTCAGGGACTTAAAGCCTAAACAGCTACAAATCCTCTCTCTACTACGTCTGCAAGGATAGGTTGGCTTTAGGCAGTATAGCCCAGGCAAGCACATTATATCTGTCCAGGCTCCCTTTTAAAAAAGAAGACTGATGAGAGATTTTCTACAAATAACCTCTTGTTTCAGAAATTTGAAAACAAATGAATTATCAAAAACTTATTTGAAGAACTAATGTACCCTTTAAAGCAAGCACTCTGAATGTAACAGTGACTAGAATTTTTCAAGACAGGGACAACATATTTAGAGAAGGACATTCTTGAAACAAATACTTTGCTACCTGGTATCCTTGTACAGATGCCACAGGGAATTAAAAACAAGTAAGCTCCCAGGACAGGAGAAGAACAAGGCTATCTCCTTTTTATTCTCAGTGATCCTGTTCCTTAAAGAGCAGCTCCCAGACCATATCACCTGGGAGCTTATTAGAAATGCAGATCCCAATCCTCCTGAATCAGAATATGCATTTTAACAAGATCCACCAGGTCATCCTTTTGTACATGAAAGTTTGGGAAGCACTGCTCTGAGTCAAGAGTTCATGATGGAGAGTATCATTGAATAGTAACAAAAATCTTTATTAATGTCATTCTACCTGAACAATTTATTTTTAAACCCCTTTTCTGTCAATGTGGTTCCAAGTAGCTTGGTGACACAAAAAGTTTCAGAATTAAGCTGAGTACAGAGTGCCAGTACTTTGAGATGCAGAAGTTGGTTCGGTTTGATGTAAATGATGGGGACCAATTATTTCAGTTAAAATACTGATAGCACCATCACTAACTTTTATTAAATACTTTATACTGGAAGTGAGGAAAAGTGCTGTAAATAAACTAAAGGTGTTTTGTTTGTTTCCCCAGAGTAAATCTTTTTAAGTAATGTAATTTACCCTGAAAAGGACAAAAAGGGGACCAGATGAAAGTTCTCTGTTAAGTCAGTGCCTCAGTTTACAATAGTAATTTCCAACCAAATTTTACAATCAAAACTAAACTCATATTGTCACGGACTACACCTTGTGTTAGCACATGCATGGATAAGCAAAAATGATGTGCTGTGGGGATATCCTTTAGTTAATTCTATGAGTATCATCAATGCCTCTACTTTTATAATGATTTTTTCTTGTATGTATGCCTTTGCTGTGATTTTGGAAAAAATACATCAATGTGAATATTGGACTGAATTCCTAAGAGGATAATAAATGGCATAAAGAGTCATGGTAGATGGACCATGGTCCATCACACAAATTTTATGTTAACCAAGATCCTGATTGTCACCCTGAAATTCATCTTTACAAAAAACAGCTATATTCCTGGCTTTCTTGTTTTCAGTTATTACTACAGTATAGTTCTGTGATTTACAGATTTACCAAATCCAGCATTTTCTAAGATGTTTTTGGAGGAATACAAGTGTTAAGAGACATTAAGGGTCCTATGGTTAATTAAATTTAGAAAGTACTGGAATGAAATTATAAGGATTACTTTTCTGCATGACTTCTTAGGACCTTCAGCATTCTAAGAAACATTATTAGCACTCAGTAGCAGAGACGTAATATACAATGTTTCTGACCTCAAAATGTGCATGTTAAAGAATATTCTCTGTGATTAGTGTCTTGAGTTACACATTTTGGGAACCCTAGTATAATCTAATTTCTAATCGTGTTTGGATATTTATTCTTTTGAGGACTGTATTATACCACTCACAGTAAAAACAATAAACCAGCAAATTTGTAGTCTGTACTACACAATTTAACACATACTTATAAACTCTTTTGTGTTTTTCATTATTGCTTTTCCTCCCAACCAGATATAACTACTTGGGCAGTATGAATCACGCCTTATACTTTCAAATCCACCACAGAATTTAAGTTCCGTGTTGGATATGGTAGGTAATAAATTACATATTGGTGTACTAACCTATGTTAAAATTAAGTTTTTCGAATTTCCATGGATATTCAGTTGTTCTAGTATTTCAGGATCTGATGATATAATCATCAGAGTTCAAGTAGAACTTTCTTATGGTTCTGCAAACTCTGCTCCTACATCCAACAAGTCTTTGTCTCTATGAGCCAGTGAACATAAAGATATCTTGCCCATGATTACCAAAGTACTACCAGCATGTGTATCCTTTTTCCAGATTCAAATCTTTAACACAGATTTCACCTGTGTTATATATGCCTGATATTCTTTCTTCAATTGCTTGAAGCAGACATACCAGGAAAATTCCAGCACAGATGCACTATTAATTTGAATCTGTATTGTTATTTTTTCCATCACCAATGAGTTCCTTAATGAGACCCAACAATGTTTTTAGTTGACGCTGTAGAATAATATAGAAAGTATTAGTCTAGAAACTACCCAAACCTTTATTCATCTTTAAGGGGGCTGAGATCTAGGCAAGTGAGATCAGTGTCCTTCAGGGACTTTACCAAGTTGTCTACAGTTGGTCTTGCTGGCACATCATTCTTAAAAGTACATCTGCTATTATTTTTTCACTAAAGGATTAATAGTAATTCGCCCTTGTTTACTGTGAAGTGCATATGTTTTTTGTCTCCATATTCCACACCACACTGTGAGCTCTTAATTTTGAAATTAAGAAAGGAAAAGTACTTTTTAACACTTGGAAATATCACTTAGCACTCCATCCCTTGGGGGGTAAGGCAGGAGTAGAGGAGGCAAAGATAAGCTATTCCTACTCCTACCATTTCAGGCCACTGGAAAATTCTCTTCATAGTTCCTTTTGATTATTTTGCAGTAGATCTACAACTTTCCATACAAGGTCTTTTGCATGATATGGAGAGCTTGTATTGAGTTTTACGAATTGATTAATAACAGCCTGTCATGCCCATACCTATTCAAAAGTATGATGGTTTATAATAGACTAGATTCTATTTGTCACCCCAGAATTTACCACCATCCAGTGATAGAATCCAGATTACCATAGTAGACATGAATTTGGGTAAAATTTGCAACTGCCTTAGTTTCTTACATTGGTGTCTCAGTGAGTAAGGAGAGCATATTTGTTCTTCCTCCACTTAGAAGATAAATATCTTTGATTGTTTTGAGTATCTGTTGTAGGTGGTTTGGCTAATCACCTGTCTAAAGGCAGAAAACTGGACCCAATGACTTATCAATATTCCTTATTATGCTAGTCTATCCTTCAACTGAGTATATTATCTTAAATGTTGGCATTTCAAGCACTGAAAGACAATGACCCCCCTTCAGAGGATTAGTGCCCAGAGAGATAGATTTTATTCCCAAGCATAAAGGTTAAAAAAAGTGAGAAAATGAGATTTCATAGTCCAGGAGATACTTCACCTATCACTGCTTCCATTCCACCATATCTTCCTCTGGACACCATTAGGAGAACCAGAGAAATTGTATATAACTACTATGCATTATGCATGACTGCATTGTTTACCGCATTGTTTTATACCACTCAGTTCACCTGAGATGAAATCAGGCAAAGGAGGTAAATTTAGTTTACCTTCAGAACTCTAGACTACCGACTCTTGTAAAAATTGATTTACTAGTTTATCTAATGTTTTAAAAACTCACTTTATTAAGTTGTAAATCATATCATTCAGTACTACTACACCGGAAGGTAAAATTAATGATAGAGATAAGGACATTAGAAAAAGCCACAGCATGGTTACATGACAACATGAAAAACTTGATGAATAGCAGTTTAGGAGCAGTGGCATAGGGTTCAGATTTAATTTGAATGGTGAAGGGCATTATCCTGTTGAGCTGCCTGGATAAGGGTAAGTTCATATTGGCACAGTCTGATGTCATCATGGGTGACATGGAACAGTGGTACAGTGAAAAAATTACAAGACCAGAAAAATAATTTGAAGTTAACTTTTTAGAAGTAGCCTAAAAGGAAAACAAAATTGATGGCAGATTTGTGGGGTCATGTTAAGTGTGGGCGGCAGATAGACAAGTTTGTGAGTGGAAATTTAATATCTGTATAATTTTATCAGATGGGAGAAATGCCATCATAACAAGATGCATGCTACATCAGGAATTTCAATACCTTTCACATAACAAATGTTCTTCCTACGCTTTATTATACCAATGCTCATGTCATCCCAAGAAAAGGGATGGATTTAAATAGAAGACAAAAGGATCTTTAGTTTCACTTAGAGATGAAGAAGATAGGGTATAAAAGGTGTATCAGCAAAGGCAACGCTTCCAAAAAAAATTTCTAAGACATCAACAATTAGGTGTTCTTAATAGATTGATCATAATGCATCATTAGCTCTCCAAACCTTGTATTGATTAACATCAGGTCCAAGTCAGCAACTTTTGCTGTCAGATCTCCTGGCCATCAACCTGTCCTGCCATTGTCTGTGTCAGAAACTAGCTCTGTCATGGCCAACTGAACACATGTACCACCTGAAGCTTTAGTCAAAATACAGGAGGAAAGTCAACCACTGTTCCTCATCTCAAAGAATTTGGAAATCCTGACATACTTGTTTTATTGTGGCAAATGAGCTATGAAGATCAGAGAGTGTCACTTTACAATGAGGAAAGTAAGACAAGATAAAGAAACCCTCCCATTTTAATCACCTAATGACAGATCTAGAATATGCATTCAGGTTTTTCTGTCTCTGTCTTAATAAGCCTGATCACCACAAATAATCAGTTTTGCTGCATTATTCTCGTTTCAAGGAAGAAATACTGTCCGTATTTTGAATAAGTTGAAAAGAATGAAAATGTCTTATTTTCAGGGGGAAAAAATATTAACCCATTATAAAAAATGTAAAATTTACATTTGTATATTATAGAAGGGGCTAAAACTAAGCAAAGTTGTATGTCTTGACAACATAAAAATGAGAAAATAAGATACTTAACAAAATCCTTAAAATGATACAGTATTGAGCCAGTAATCAGAGTCTGAAAATGAATCCATCTACATATACAAATGACAAAACATTTGGAGATGCTAATACTGAAAATTTAGTATGTGAGTCAGGCCTCCTGCCTGATTTGAAATGAACACATTTAAGGCCTTAGTGCATGTGACTGACTTCTGGCTTATGAGTGAGACTGAGGCAAGTGTACACTTGCCAAATGAAAGTAGACCTCTCCAGAACTCCTCTTCTGACCATTGAAGGATCACACTCACAGCATGAAATAATCAAGTCTTTGCCCATAAAATAACCACATTCATAAATCTTTGTTCCTGTAGGACTAAGAATTGATTTTTAATGATGAACAAGCAATCTTGTGTCTTTGAAATAGAAACAGGATTTTTAAAACTTTAATTTCCATGTATGATACATACCCGCTCTCCATGTTTATCTCTACAGTTATGTGTGAGGGGCTCTGTGCTGTAGCTTTTAGATATTTCATAGAAAATGAAGGAACACACTAAGATCTTGCAAATGTCTCCAAGAGATTTGGGCAATGGTGAACATGCCGCAGCTGCACTTCAGCATAGTATCTGTCACATCAGATACAAATGGAGGGGTAGCACACGAGCAGAAAGTACAGGAGTGGGAAAGAAAAATAGAAAGCAACACAGGGTGTTATACGAAATAAATTATGCAAAAATACATAAGACAATAAAGAATAAGCAAGAGGCATGCCTGGCAGGAATGTTACATGTAGTACATGACTACATGAGATGGCATGTAGTCATATCGATTATGTGCATTATATTAATTTACTGTCCTGAAATTCATACTCATTCATTTCTTTAATAATTTGAACCTCATTCTTACAGGGCAAACTTATTATCTGGAAAGAATTCAGAGGTCCTATCTCATTTTTTAAAACTTGAGAAACAACGAAGTGCAAAGATTAAAGCAATTACTAACTTTTTTTTGGCAACAAATATTTGTTAATGTCCACATGCATAACTGGAAACAAATGACTTTAGGGAATGAACAGGAGGTCATCACTCTAAGAAACAGATAGAAGTAAACAGAATTAAGAATAATGAAAATAAATACAATATGACTATAGTTGATTTTCACCTTGAGAAAGTTGCTGTCTAGTTTATCATAGAAGAGATACTAGCCATTGTTGAGTTGTTTCTAAGGAAAGCTGAGAACAATGCTGAGGGGCAGTGGAGTGAGGGTTCTTATAGGAACTGACTCACTAGTATGCTTCATGTGAAAAAATGAAATAGCAAAAATAGCCAGTGCCTTTCATATGCATTATCAATAAATAATAAACCTTCACCTAAAATGTTAAGTAAAAGGAAAATTATGTAATATCAATTCAGACTTTCTTCATTTTGCTCATTTAAAAGACCTTTCTTATAAAGCAAGAGACCATTTTAATTGTTCTTTCAATTACACATTCTCTTAAATCAGTGCAAATACAGATCAGGTGGCTGGTCATTATCCGTCGAATTTTGGCTGTATGGATAGCAAAGTCAGTTATTAAGAGCAAACAACACAGTAGTGTTTCAGAAGTGAACCTGATATTTTGTACAATAAATTCTGTTTCCAACTCTTTCCTCAGTTTCCAGTTTGGGGTGAATAGATAACTTAGAAAACGCTGCGCCATTCACCATTCCTGCAGATTCTGAAAGGAGCGGAGAGGAAACCCACAGGTCCTAAGAACTTGCGACCAGCGTCCAAATCTTGGGAGTAAGGCCGAGTATGAAGCTGCGTTCGTGGAGACAAAGGTCCTCAGTTCTCATCCTGCAGGACTGGGTGGCAGAGGCTTTCTTCCTGGAGACACCACTCACACGATCTGTTAGTGACTGAATTTCTAAAGACAAAAGACATTCCTGCAATCCTTTTAATAAAAGCAAGGTTTGGGACTAATCGAATGGAAACAACATGGGTGAGCCTTTAGAAATAAAAAGTAAGTGCCTTTAGCTCTTCTGAAAAACAGCATAAATAGCATATTGGGTTTATACTATGCTAAATGATGTGCTAGAACCTATAAAGAAAATAAAAAATACCTTGATTTTCACAGATAAATACCATTTGCTTAGTTACATTACAGAAATGCAGTGACTGTAGGGATCAAATACTCAGAGGCTAGGCCATCAGGACAAGCCACTCCTTCCTTTCATTGTTTGCCTTATTCACAAAAACAAACTGCAGTTCTCTTAAGTTAGAGGATAATTCAGTCTATTTATACCTTGTTTACTTTATTTAATAAATCCTCATATTTAAGGATTTCCCAAATTAATGCCAAATAGAAAAGAATAGCAAAAAGGTAAATATTTTTCTCATGAATCTAATCTTTTATTAATCTGCATACATGTTATTTCAAATATATACATGTAGATAGCCACATATATATGTGCATAGAATGTATAAATATGTATAAATACATATATATTATACATGAGTGATTTATTACAGAAATATCAGTGTTTCTAGATTACACTGCATCCTTGATGAGCTGTCATTAGTGTGGAAAGGATACATAGCTTTTCAACAAAAGAAAAGAATGAGGCTGCCAGAGTGTTACAGTGGTTTGGGCTTTTTTTTTTTTTCAGCATCCATCCCTGCCAATCTCTGCACTGCCAGTAGGGAAAACCATATCCATGGCAACCAACCGTACCATTCCAGCCCACATCAATGACGCCTCCAATCTAAACTGTCAGATATTCTATGCACATCATGTAAAATAGGTCTCTTTCCCCTTATACCTCTGTGCATCTCGTTTCCTTGGCTACATGTTTATGCAAATGAGAATTGTCCTTTCTCTCTCAGGTTGATTGAACACTGAATTTGTTTTGCACCTTGGCAATGCAAAGCCATGCTGTCTTGCCACCTGGTCTACTGCATAATTGCAAAAAATTACATTATAATGATAACTGTCCCCAAATTAGCCTGATAACACCATCTACCTGCCTTGTGAGCGAAAGAAACAGTGTGCAATAAAGAAGGATGTTAAAACAGAGTCGAGATAGGGGAATAATGTTTAATTGGCTCTCCAGAGTCTACTAATTTTCAGAATTGGAAACCTAGTGTTTGATTTGTTCTTTTTAGTCAGTGAGAAGAAAAAATATCCTTCATAAATTCTGAATGACAAATTTGCCCATCCTTTTTTGCATGTGGTTCCAGCATCCCAGGGAATCTAAAGTGTCATTTCCTCTCTGGAAGAAAGGAAGCACAAAACATGCTAGGTATGTACTCTAAATTTTCACTCAGTGTCAGCTCTAGTTATAAACTTCTCTCAATACACGTATCTCTCTCTTTCTTTTCCCCCCAACCCCTCCAAATCTTGGATCAATACCTTTCTTTTAAAGTTAAGATGCAGGATTTTTATAGGATGATACATATTAAAATCAAATAAAGCTGGGTATCTAAAAGAATTACCTTCTCTCCTCTTCCATCTTCTTTAACCTATTGCTTTCCACTAGATTATGTCTTGTAAATAATTTTGTGGTGGTAATCACGGTCTGGTTAGTTTCTTTTTCAGAAAAATCACAATCAACATTTTACAAATAAAAAAGCAATCAGTTCTTTATTTAGTTCATTTTGTTATAATTTACATTCATATGGTGACTTTAACTCAGGCATGTTAATTTTTCTACAAAAAAAAAGACATGGGCAGGTAAAAATGTGGTACCTAATGTATTTCCTCAGGGTATAAGTGATAAAAGATACTAGATTGTATTATGATAAATATTGAGGATATATTTATTCCTCCTTCTGTATAATTCCCCTTTCTCTGCAAAACAAACCCTTCAGTATTTATAAAAACAGGAACAATTTTATACAATTTCATGAGATTGTCTTAGACTGATCTTTTGAACTTTGTTTATAAAGATTCTGAGTCACCTTTGAGTAAATTTGGGAGAAGCAAAGGTTACAAAGGTAGACAAGATCCCTTTTTTAATTTAATGGATCATCTGTAAATGTGTTATGGCCTAAGATAAAAAATACAAAGTTTCCAAAGCCAAATTCACAACCATCTTTTCTCCCATCTCCCTCTTCAAACTTTAAGACCTTTTAGGGTTCAGCTGAGGCCCCTTGTTCTCCCTGACTATGAAGATAACAAAGTAATGACTCCCTTCTCTTATCTCTTGGCTCTATCAATGCTCTTGTTTCAGCATTTCATTAGATGCCATTTCCTGCCGATATGACTTGCTCTCTGACAAGATTATAAACCCTGAGGCAGAGTTGGGGGAAAATAATTTCATATAAATCTTTTCAACACTTAAAGTGAATATTTTGCTCAGGAAAATTGCATATCACATCTTGATTGTTCTTGGATTTTAGGCTGAGACATTTAGGCAGTGAACAGCTGATAAATATGCCTCAGGACATGGCAGGAAAGAGAAATCAACTTTTGTTGTGTTCACTATGTTCAAGAAATCATGTCAGATGTTTTACATATGGAACAATAATCTTTTCCTTGTTAAAATTTACTTTTAAATAACAGATTATATTTTTCAACAGCAAGAATATTTGAAAGAGGAGATATGACATCCTTAAAAATTCTGTTTGTTTGTTACATCTTCACTAGTTGTTTCCTGAGCACTGTTCTTGGCCCTTTGGGGAATTACAAAGGATGTGAAAAACCTGATTTTATGAAGATTATAATTAAATACAATGACAAGTACATATTAATATAGGTGATAAAAACAAAAACCATGTGTCAACATCAATTATGACTGTTAATATCATTCCAGTGGACTTACCAAATATAATATATAAAGATTTTCAAGTATTGTAGAAGCCTAAAAATAGGCATTGGCATTATGTTGTAGAAAAAGGTATGGATGAATAGTTTGAATCAGATTTACCTGAGGACGACAAATACTTAAGCACCTGACTTTTTCATTATCAGTATTTTACAAATGTAGAGTCTGTGCATTTGAATTGTCCCCACTCAGGCTTATGGTTCTTGTTCCTTTCTCTGTGCACAAGATACTTGCTTTCAGAATGTCATTCTATTCAGGGATTTCTTGCTGAATCCGCCTTATTTTCCCTTTAACCTTGCTGATGCATATACAGTGAAGTGGAGAAATAGGGTATTCATTTGTTAACTGTAAGGGCTCAAAAAGTTGTCTAAATTCCACAAGTGAAAAAATAGGGAGTTTATGTAAATAACTAGAAATTGCCTCAATTTTCTTATCCACTTTTTGTACCTACATAGTTTACACTGCCTAGATTTCTCCTATGAAAGAGATTTTTCCATAGAATTGTTGCAAAGAAAAATTAACAGATAGGAAAAATGTCCACCAACTAAGAGTATCTATCCATTTGTCAAATAATAATACTGTTATCAAATAATTATTGATAATTATTATTATGAAGCACTATGTTCAAAGCACTGTTTTAAGTCCTTTATGTAATTCAAATCATTTAATCCTCACAACAACTTTATGAAGTAGGTACAAATATTTACCCTGTTTTACAGATGAGAAAACTGAGGCATATAAAAGGGAAGCCAAGTTTATGCAGCTAGGAAGTAGTGGATCTCTCAAGACCAGATTGTCTTGAAGTAAAGTCTCTAAAGTGTTAACCTTTTCATTTCTGTGCCATATGACCTTTTGAGAAATATTTTTATTCTCAATTATCATAATAAATTTGTGTCAGTAAAAAAAAATCTGTAAAAATGGTAATATTCCAGAATTCTGTCTTTATAACTCAAATTCCCTTTCATTTAATCTTTCAAAGCATGAAATTGAATCTTCTCTTGGGAAGGAAAAAAACCCTTCACGAAGAGTTCAGTGGAAACATTACTTTTAATGACAGCAATGATTTGGAAGACCTATGGTAATTTAAAAAATATCCAGACATATGTTTATTCATTCAGTCAGTTAGTTAACAAATATTGCATGCCTACTAAGTGCCAGCACTGTTCTTGGCTCTGAGGATTCAACAGTGAGCAAATGAAAGTTTATGCCTTCTTGGAGTTCACATTCTAGTTGGAGAAGAAATTAGGGGTTAGAATAGAATAGAATGGAATGGAATGGAATGGAATGGAATGGAATAGAATAGAATAGAATAGAATAGAATAGAATAGAATAGAATAGAATAGAACAGAAAGAATAGAATAGAACAGATGTCAGATAGTGAGAAGTGTTATAAAGAAAAATTAAACATGATAAGGATATACAGGACAAAGAACATGGGGCTGTTCTTTTATTAGGCAAGAAAATGTGTTTTTGGTAAAGTGATACTTCAGCAGAGATTTTAATGAAGTGAAAAAGAGAGCTCAGAGGTGGGAACTGGCGATCTAAGTTCAAGGGTTATTCAGTTGGCTGAGTGGAGTAAGAGGGAAATTGCTGTGGCAGATGCCATCAGTGAAGCAGCGAATGGTCAGATCATGGAGGGACTTGCAGAGAAATTGTACATACTTTCCCTTTTACTGAGAGAGATAGGAAACATATCAGGGGTTTCAGCAGAGGAGTGGCAGGACCTGACCATTTTGTAAAAGGATGACTGACTCAAGAGTGAAATATAGAATAGAGGGTTGGGTGAAATCAGGGAGCTCAGTTCGAGAAGCTTTTGTATCATCCCAAGCAGTAGGTGATGGTGGCTTGTACCAGGATGGCAGGAGATAAGAGATTTTAGTTGTAAACTACAAGATTCTATATTATATTAGATGTGGGATGTAAGAAAGATAATAAAGGATGACACTATTTTATTACTAACTGAAATAGAAAGTTTTATACTTAGATAAGAATTTGTAGGTAAAAACTAAATATTTCAAATTAGTTAAAAGTTATCAAACAGTTAAAAATTTTCTCAGATTCTTTGAATTTGTTAGATACTCTATTTGAAACAATTATCAGTTATTACTTCTTCATTGCCAATAAGTTTTTGATGGTATCCAACTCTTCACTGAAGATGTAACTGGATAAATTAGCAAAGTTCTCTTAGAAATGGCAGTCCTCCTGTTTGAAACACTCCCTTTTTCATCTCCCAAATCTCAGATATTCTTTTCTTTTGTCCTACTTCCTAAGCCATTCTCTTATAGTCTTTTTTGCAGGCTCCTCTTCCTTAGTATTAACTCTCAGTACTTCCTATATATTTTGTTATAAGCCATCTTTTTATACCCATCTGTAAGTCTACTTGGACCGAGTCCACTACTAGAAAAGCTTCAGTTATTATCTAAATCCTGATGATGCTGAATTTTCTAGTCCTGCACTGTTCACTATGTGTGCTACTAGCCACACATGGCTTTTGAGCACTTGTAATGTTGCTAGTCCAAATGAAGATGTGCTGTAAGAATAAAACAGATGCTGAATTTTGAAGACATAGATGAAAAACAAGAACATAAAAATATCTTGATAATTTTTTATGTTGATTATTAATTGAAATGGTAATTTTTTGGTTATTGGGTACACAAAATATATTACTAAAATTGATTTCATATGTTTCTTTTACTTTTTTAGTGTAGCTAGTAGAATTTTAAAAGCTATAGATGTACCTCAAACCATATTTTTATTGGACAGTGCTGTTCTAGCCATTGATATCTCTCAAGCAGACTTACCCCCAGGACCTGCATATACTATGGTAAAAAATATTTATTGAATAAACAAATGAAATTTATAAAACATAAACCTCCTATAAACTGGAATCAATCTCACAAGAAATTTATAGGTAACATGCAGAAGTTTCATAAAAGATATTAAGAATGACATGCTTTTATAGAGACAACTGTGATATTTTCAATAGGAGAGCTCACTTTTCTAAAGAAGTCACCTATCCCTAAGTTGACCTATGTATTTAAGGAAACTACTGTCAAATCCTTACTATTTTCTTTAGAATTCAACAAAATGATATTGAAATTCAACTAGAAAAGTAAACATGGGACAGTGAGTCAAGAACGATTAAAGAGAGAAGAATCATTAGAGGGACATAACTAATCAACCTTTAAAACAAATCATAAAGCTTCAAAAACTAAAACAATATTAAGTTTGTGCCAAAAAGAGAGGTCAATGAAACAGAATGAAAGTTCAAAAACAAAACTACAAATAAAAACTTAGTCCCTTCTCATCTGCAGGAAATAATTCCAAGACTCGTGATGGATGCCTGAAACTGCAGATAATACTGAACCTTATATATACTGTATTTTTTCCTATATACACATAACTATGGTAAAGTTTAATTTATAAATTAAGCACAATAACTAATAATAAAACAGAATAATTATATCAATTTGCTG